CTTTTTTTTGTCCTTATTGATGAATGGACTTTTTCTTCTTTTTTTTTGATCATTGATCAATATTGATGTGCTTTGTTTGAAATGAAAAGAAAAACACAAATGATTTTTTTGATATAATACAATCATCAGAAAGTTACATGTTGAATAAGATTGAAAACGAATTTGGAATTTAGATCAATAAATAAGTCACGAGAGTTTTTGCAATGTTTTGTTTTGTACGTATTGAACTACAGAAATGCCAATATATCAATAATATTGACTGTTCTTAATTTACATATATATATATAAATAACTGTCCTGAATAATAAATACGTAGGTATTACTGCATATTTTGTATGCATCATTGCATGTCTTAGCCAATACTTATTATCGTAGAAAATATAATGTTTTCACTTTTTTCATAACTTCAGTTTATTCATTATATCATATCATTTCAAGCCACTAATAATAAAATACTCATGAATAATACTACTGTACTATTATTACAGAAAAATGTTGATGATACTGTAGGTGCTATTATATATATTATTGTTGTTCTTTCATGGTATTCATTAGGTACTGTCTGTTTATTGGGAATGCAATTGCTCGCACCTACTGACGTTGTTGAAAGTTCATTTAAATATTCAACTCAATTATATAGTCAAAATTCTCATGAAAAGACAAATAGTAAAAAGATATTAGGTAGGAAATATATTTTACAAATAAAATCAATAAAAATATTTTTTTTAGAAGAATTAATTGATAAAGAAAAACGAGCTAAATTATGGAATATATATTGGGGTACATCAAAAGGTATGCATGATCGAATTATACATGCTGACACTCTTCGTATACATAATATTCAACGACAATTAGCAACAATCAATGATCACGAAAGAATTCAATCTTTATCTCATGCTGATTCTTTTCATTCAACTTTAAAACCATCATTCAACGGTCAAATACGTCGGCGAAGTCAATCACTCGTTGATCAACAAATAATTGAAAAATGGAGAACAACTGTTAATAGTTTGAAAACACAAGGAAGTTTACCATGGTCTCTTCCAAGATTTTTTCTTCGACGAAATTTACGACGACAACAGTATAATAAAGATTATCCAATTTAAGAAAATAAACCCATTGCGTATATTGACACGTACTTTATTTTTACTTGACATATGTCTGTGAACCCAATTGTTTTCATGCACTTTTTCATGTATTTTTTTATAATTTATATTTATAAAAATACTCGTCATACACTTATAGTAATCAATATTCCACATTCCATTATACTTCCACTTAGAAGTAAATTAAGCGTAAAAGCTTGTAACCTTGCTTTTTATACATTAATAAACTATTCATAATAATGGTACATTATACATACTTTACATTATATTTAATCATTAGTATTACAGAACTATATAGATTGTGTATTGTCTAATAGATACACTCGAGAACTATTTTTTTAAGTTAATGTCATGAGAATATCGAAATAAAAAAAATCTATTTCATGTTGTAGAAAATAAGTACTATATTTTATCAGTTTAGCATAAAAAAAGACGATGTGATATGATCTTTGTTATCGTTCCAATTAACATGAGTAAACATAACAATACTACTTTTATGTTAATTTTCTTCTTGAGAGGTTTCTCTTACAAAGTATCAGCTTTGACTAAGTTAATCTGTCATTTTCTTCAACATTTGTCGTTGATTCCATTAGAAAAAAAATAGAGAGGTAGATAGATTTAATGATGAGCCAGATGGAATAACCTTGATTTGGTTATATATATATATATATACAAATAATAACAACAATCCATCAATTTAGTCGATAGTTAAATATCTATCATCTCTTTCTTAACATGTTGTAGATGTATAATATGCTTCAAGTATAATTCTACAAGATCTTTCTGATTACTTACACATATCAATATCAACATCCATGTATAAATCGTTTCCATCTTGTTAATCTCTCTTTAAATCATAGGTAGTTCATTGTGTAAAATTCTTATCATTTGTTTCTATTCTCAATAAAAATCATGCCTCATAGGTATATTGCATATACGCTAGAAAGTTCAGAAAAATCATTGACCTTATTGAATAAGAACATTATTCGAAAGAAAATTTATACATATGTCCAGCATATGTCCTATCAAGTAGAATTGTGACAATCAATGATGTACAATAGTTATAAATAAACAAAAAGTATTTTAATACTCATGATAACTATACATTTATATCTGATGAATACAAGGATAAATATAAACAAGATGGTCTTTTATCTAATAGATTTGAAATGATTGTTATAATAAGATTAATTCTAATCAAAACATTTGATATCTTGAAGCTGCATTATATTTCGAATGCACTAAAAGAAAGGTTATTATACAAGGACATCGGATTAGATAGAATAATTATCAGACATATGTGACACTTTTCATCTTTCTAAGAAGTTAATCAAGGTCTATTGTAATATAAAATATAAACATAAATAAATAGAACATTGTTATTATTAAAGAAGAGAAGAGAGACAAATGCATTTTCTTATGATATTCTCTTATTTATACATTTGTCTTAGCATGAAAATGTACCATTCTTTTATCTAGATACAATTCTAGAAAAGGAAAATAGTCGATAAGTATAAAGAAATCTATCTGTTTAACTATGATATTGTATTCATAAGCAGTAATTCTCAATCAAATGATGTTTTCAACATTACTTGTATGTATTCTTTCGATTGTTCAATTTAATCATCAAATATTTATTCAACCAGCTGTTATTAATACAAATGATATACAGAATGAAACATTTATTGAAAATATAACAATTCATGAAGATACAACAATTGCTGAAGTAATAGATGTTGCCCATGAAGAAACGGATAAATCAATGTCATTATTCGATGATGTTGTTGAATTAAATATTGGTGGTCAAAAAATAACAACATTACGTTCAACACTTACAGTTATACCAAATTCAAAACTGGCTCAAATGTTTAATAAAGATAATACTAAGAAAAAGAATTTACCTATGGATAAAAGTGGTGCAGTATTTTTTGATTATAATCCACTGTATTTTAATTTTTTACTTGATCAATTGAGAGCAATTAAACGTATGCCAAACAAACCAGGATATCAAATACAATTTCAAGCACCATATATGAATTCACAAATGAATTTTACTCATATGCTTGTTGATCTTGGATTAACACGTAAGTTAAATATAAAATTTTCTTTACCTTAATCATAATACTAAAGATAATGAATTTTCAAGCCATTTCTCAATCTAATAACTGTCATAGTCAGACTAATACTATGAAAGGCAAGATATCGTTCAATGATTTTATTATTCTATATTCAGATTACTAATAGAATTTATTTATTTTCTTTTTCTAGAAAATTATTTCTTATCACCAACGGAAGGTACACATATTAATTTAACTGTAAATTCTCTTGCTGGTTGGAAAGAATGTTATCGTAGTACATATAATATTCCATTTGATTTTTCTCTAATAAAAAAATCTTGTAATGGTAGTCGATTACTTGTTGGTTGCCGTAATATTAATAATAAAAACGTCTTGACTCTTGCTGGTATTGGACAATATGAAGATGTTGTACATCCATGTTTACCAAAACAATGTAAAACAAATGGTAAATCAAAAAAGAAAAATAAGAAATTAACATGTTCATCAAGTTATCAATGTATTACACAAGGTAAACGTGGTGTCGGATGGTATAATGCAAATAATCAAACATGGGGTTTTGTACGTGGATCTTTATCGTTTGTAATTGATCCATGTGATCCAAGTGATTTAGATTCTGATTATCGACTTTGTTGGACAAAACAATCAGATATTAAAAAAGGTACTGGTGATCGATGTGGCAGTACAAAAAATTTACAAAATTCAAATAAATATGAACGTCTTGTTTATTATATTGCTTAAATCTTTTTTCTTTCTATTAGATACTATAGAAACTTCAATTTTCATCTAGTTTAGTTATTTGCTTGATTGTATTTATTAACATATATATTTATAGATGAATTACGATTTTTATTTAAAATAAAAGTACAAAACAATGTTGATAGAATAGTTTGTAATCAGTAGTAACTATAAAAAAATATTGTTTTGATGGCATTTATGTATTATAATGTTCAAATAAGAGATAATAAACCTTTTTTTGTCTATAAGTATTGTTCACGTTGAAATTGTTCATGAATATCTGATATGTATTTTTCCTTTTCTAATCAAAAGAACGTATGATTATATATAATTTGTTCTTATTAATTCATAAGAAGATAAAAAACCACGGTTGAATTCAATATTTAATGTCATGAGATTAATTTTCATGTCTACTTACGTCGTAAGTCAATGATGTTTTCATGTATTTATACAAAGAAGTTGTTACAACTGGAACTATCAATATTTACTTCTGAGCTCTATCTCATAAGAGAACGTCCCCAGGTATGTTCCCTTGCGAGACTATAATTCAAGGCACAGTCAAAATAGAGATTACCGATATTCCATAAACCACCGTCCAAGTGAATAATTTATTTGAAGTAACAAAAAATATGTTCTGGACGATATAAAGAAAAAAATGGAAAATAGTTTTGTGTTTTTTGCATATCAACAACAATTTCGATCTTAAATAATTCCTAAACTTCAAAATTCAGTTACGATATATTATGTTGGTACACTATTTGATTTTACAACAGTTGTTTATTCAACTTCACTTTCATGGGATTTTGCTCAATTTAATTTACAATGTTGTGGAGCTGTTGGTATATCTGATTTTGTACTAGCTAAAAACTGGACTCGAACAAATTCATATCAAACAACTGCTCTACTATTAGTTCCATTTACATGTTGTCCATTAGGTGCAGCTAAAAGTTGAACACAGCTATCAACAAATTTATCTTCAGCAGTTAACTGTGCAATAACAGGTGCAGGTGCTTATACTGTTGGGTGTTATGATCGTTTAGTTAGTATATTAGTAACATATAAAAATTATGCTATGATTGTTGGTGTCATAGAAGTACTTGCTTTTGTTTTTTTACTTCTTCTCTTTCGTCGTAAAAAAGATTATGATACTTAGTGAATATAGAGAGAGAAAAAATACTTTTTTGATTTTATTGTTTAATCAATGATTATTTTATTTTTTTTCCTTTTTTTGCGGTGCTTAGCATGATATCAATTAAGAAAATAATCGTTTTTATGGGTATATGGAATCTATGACTTTCAAAGAATTTCACTTCATTTTTTTATTTAATATAAATATAATATCATTTGGATTCTTGAAAGCAATAAAAATATATACATATGTATGCTGAATTAAACATTTCGAATTCGATTCATTGAAGTGAACTGAACATATTATATCTGTCGATAATGAAAATATCAAATAACCTTGTCAAATCGAATTAAATTTTTAACAAAATCATATTTTTTCCTAGCAGTATCGTTAGTCTATATCATATATACAATACAAACACCGACAAGTATGAATGATAAATATTGTTTCGATTAAACTATTTTATATGTGTATGATGATCATAGTGATACATGGAATTATATACATAATAATTAAGTCTATCTAGAATACCAAGTAGTAATAGACAACTATTTAATATGAATAATCAAGTCAAAGCAACCATTTAAATAATTAATATTTAGTTATATTCAATCGATAATAATCAATCCATAGAAACTAAGATGTATAATATTATCGAATTACCTACCAATTTAATTTAAATTTGATTGATAAAAAAAATGCTAATTAGAAGCAGAAAGATGAAATATAATTGAATAAAGATATAACAAGACAAACAAGTTCATAAACCATTTATTTTTTTGAGAAAAAACAATACAGTGAAGCTTTCGACACCTTTCGTAGGGTCTTTTCCAACACTAAAGTTTTATAAAAAAAAATTTATATATATATATAAAGAAACAATTCTTTTTCTTTTTCTGTTCTTTCCTAGTATTTTTTTTTAACATCACACTATGATGATGTCATCTCCCCTTCATGGTGCGCTGTTTAAGAAAATACCAGTAGAGAATAGAAAAAGAAAAATAATTGTTTCTTCGTATATATATAAATTTTCTTTCATAAAACTTTAGTGTTGAAAGCTTCACTACATTGTTTTTTTCTGAAAAAAATAAATGATTGATGAACTTATTTGTCTTGTTATATAGATATATCTAAGCGATTTGTTAATGCTTACATCTGAAGGGTATGGGTGTGGGTGAAAATGAGAATATAGAAAGTCTGCGATCCACATTAACTGACAGCCACATCCACCCTTGTCTCCAATGTTGACAGAATAAAGTGATAAATGTATTTGAGATATTGATATTTGTAATTAAATATGTATTTATTATTTGATATAAAGAAGAAAAGCATATAGTGTTCTTAGAACTGAAATGATGAAAAAGAATTTGAAAAAATAAAAGTTTTTAGAATAAATATTTGTCAATAATAAAATAGTCTATAAAATGTTTTTAACATTGATTTAAAAGAACATTCAAAGTTTTACTACCAGTAGTAAGAGCAATATCTATTTTTCCATCTCTATTAAAATCTCCAGTTATAACACCATAAATATACGATTGGGTAGTAAGTCTTTGATATGTTTGAAATTTTCCATTTTGTTTATTCAAAAAAATATAAACATATTTATCATTGTCATTTGCAGTAATAATATCAATGAATGTATCATTATTTAAGTCAGCTAATGCAACTGATATTGGACCTTCACCGACATAATATGTATCCCGTGTACTAAAGTGTCCATATCCATCATTCAATAAAACACTTAATGAAAATGAACCAAAATTAGTATTAACAATATCTATAAAATTATCATTGTTTAAATCAGCAGTGGCCAGACCCCATGGCTCAACACTTGTGAAATACGTTTTTCTACTCTTAAACATTCCATTTTTAGAATTCATATAAATACTAATCGTATTATCACTATAATCAGTAGTAACAAAATCAGGATACGAATCATTATTAAAATCAGCAACAGATACAGCTGTAACATCATTTCCAGCTGTATATGTTTTAGAATAACTGAATGATAAATTATAATAATCAAATAAAATAGTAACAGAAGCATCTTCAGAATTAACAACAACAACGTCTAATAAATTATTTCTATTAAAATCTGAAATATCAAGCCAATATGGATAATTTCCAACTGGGTAAGTTATTGGTGAACTGAATTGTTGGTTGCCATTATTGATTAAAATCGCAATTTCATTTAATAACTCATAAACTAAAATAATATCTGATTTATTGTCATTATTCATATCTCTAATAGTAACATAAGCACCAGTTGTAGCCTTCGGGTATGTTTTTTGTTGTGAAAAGTTTCCATGTCCGGAACCATAGAATATACCAATAGTTGCATCATTTTGATTAAGAACAACAATATCAAGTAAAGAATCTGCATCTAAATAACCAGTACTTAACGACCAAGGGGTTTTTCCAGTTTTATAACTTGTATAACTTGAAAATTTTAATGGATTACATGGAATATCTAGAAGAGATCATTTTGATTTTTGAAAAAAATGAAAAAATAATTGTTACTTTACATGAAGAATTTATGTTCGAGATATTGCTTAAAACGAATGTTGTCACTAAATGAAAATATTTATTTACCTATACATATTATACTATTTTTTTATTACCTTCAGTAGAAGTTGTTTTCACTCGGGTGGCTCTTGTCGTTCTTTTCAAAACACTTGTCGTTCCTGAAAACACTTTTTAAATTATTTGATTTGTTTTCTCTTTTTAATCGCACAAGGATTGCCATTTAATTACAAAACTTTACTTTAATTCAATCAAAAATGTTTTTGGGAAATTCTATTTATTGATTTGAACTGAAAGTTAAATTAGCAATCTCAAATAAAGCAATATTTTATCAAATGCAATACAATTATCTACTCGATGTTATCGAAAAAAGTGAAATTATTCTACATTTAATTTTAATATTTCAAGAAAATTCTTATTACCAATGTCATATTTTATATCGATGGATGAAAATGATGATTGATAACGAATGAATATAACTATTGCAACAACACCAATAATGATTAATATTAGAATTGAAATCCAACTCCAAAGAAGAAATCGACATTTTGTTGATAAATGATTTTCTCTTTAAAATATATTTCTAGATTGAAATATTAATTGAAATAAATAGTATAATTACTTTTGAGAGTGATCTTCTGAAAATGATGGTTCTTGCATTGGAATTTTGTTGTGATAAACACACCTAGAAATTAATAAAGAACAATCAAAACTAGAATAAGAGCTATAGTTTGACTTTTTCTCACAAGGAAACAATAAGATTTTACTTGTTTTTTTTTAAAAATGAAGTTTTCCTAGTAAAACTTTCAACTAAAATAGATTAATAAAATGAAATTTGTCAATAGTTGTTTTAAATCTACTCACTTTACACTGATGATAGAAATGATTTTTGTAGTTTTATACTTCTTAGTAAATAAAAGAAAATGTCAGTATTACTAAAAACATTTCTAATATATACCATCAATACGTCATTATTTCATTTTAAAAATAGTTTTATCTTTGAAAAAAAAATGTTTTAAGAAAATAAAAAAATATTTTATTTAAAGAAATTACTGCGTGTTTGTTTATTCACTAGAAATGGTTGTTGTCAAGTGAAACATTTCTATTGTGAAAGTTATCAATATTATCTGAAAAATAAGCAAACCTTTTATTTAATGATTGACATATACAAGAATCCGATTGATCTTATTATTTAACAAAAATCCATTGAGATTATTCTAGAAAAAAAATTTTTTTTTAATTAAAAAAAGTAAATAGTTGTTCATTTTTTGTCAATTGCTCTATTTAATAAACTAATATTTCTTTTGTTGTTCTTTTTTGACGTATTTTGACAATATAAGTTTGTTAAAAATATTGAAATATTGAGATGATTAAGATTACTGATTTAGTAGAATTTTGTAGGAATGGATATTTTTTTAAAAATATTTCTCTAAAATTCAGATTTATGATAAAATTTTATATTTATAAGAAGAACTTTATTTATTTATTATAATCAGTAGTTTCGAATCGAACAAATGAAAATATGAATACAGATTTAGTCGCATTTCTTATCCTCTTTATGTGGACATTTTTAATAAACTGATATGAAGTGAGAAGGATACAAAATCTCGTTGACATTTAGAAAGAATGTTTTTGTTCGTAAACCGAGTACTATTACCTTTGTGTAAAAATGTCAAAGTGAATACTTCTACGGACATGTCCGAGACGCATGATATACCTGAAACGCATCACAGAAATGCATTTTTAAAAACATTTGTGTCAACCATTTTTCTGATTAAATCTGTATATATGAGTGTTACCCTGGAGTTACTTTATTAAATAATGGTAAACAATTTTTTTTTTATATTCGTAAAATAAAGATGAAGAAAATCTTTATTTAGTATAACATATGTGCAAAATGAGCGAATGATTTTTCCATAAACCCTTCTGTATGCAGTTTTCATCTGTTAGCATTATCCTATTTAAAAATGCTGTCGATGATAAGAAAGAATTATGATGAATATATCCTACTAATCTATTTACTTATTACTGAATAAAATTTATCTTTATTTCTTATTTGTCTGTATTTTCTAAAATAACGATTTTGTTTATATTCATGGTTTATCATAAGGTAACATCCCTATCTGCGGCAATTAATCAACCTTTACTGTCTCCAGTAATATTTGTAAATTTCAAGAGAATATTGATACTTCCAATTCTCTCTCTCTTCAAAAGTATTTAAATCACAAAGATCTCAGAATAAAATGTTTCATTTCATAACTACAGATATCAGATTTTTCACGACTAATCAACAGATATTAAAAGAAAAATTTAATATTTTTAGTTTAAATAATAATCAACAAGATTTTCATCTTCGATTTTAAGTAAACAACAAAATATTAATTATAATAAAGGAATTTACTTTCTAAAAATGTTTCTAAGGAGACAAAAGTTTGAATCATTTCCATAGTGTTGCTGATTCACAGATGAAAAAAACATTTATCTCCACCAATGAGGAATATTTTCTCTCACAAAAAAAGGTTGACCTGTACTTTTTTTTTTTAACAAACAATTTTTTCTTAGCTCTATAAAAGGTCTAACTCAGTTATATTATTATATGTCATTTTCAAAAAAGAATAATTATATTGATCTTAGACGACAATAACATTTGTTTTGCTGAACAATTCAATACATACATCAATTTCTTAGGTAAATTTTATTCTTCATTCATTTGATAAAAACATTTATAACCCATTCCTTTCGATTCAATTTTAATTCTAACTAAATTTTAAAGAGATAACTATTAGCATTTCTAGTAATATATCTTTTTTTAAATATTGCGCTATTCCAATATTAATCTATCTGATTGAATTATCCATCTACAGCTTATACAGAGTTACATTTTGCACGAAACTCGAAATCTTTTTTTTATTACTCTCTCTATCCAAATGAAACATCGAATAAGCAAGATCCTGGCCAGATCTTAAATAGGAGATGTTTCACTAGGGTATATTCTTCATTTAAATGTTGTCAATATTCATGGTTTATAATTAAATACTATTGTGATCAATAGAGATACATGATCGATGTCGAATCTGTTTACTATTGATCATAATAATATTTTTTCATAAACAACTAATTAACTATAAATATCTTTTAATCAGCAGTATTAACAACAGAGATAGTACAAAGATCTTCTCCTTCACACAAATAATAGTTGTACTTACATCTCTATTGTAATTTAGTCAATAAATATCAGTTCATTATTCAATTAGATAAATCGCATCTATTCTACCACTAATTCATCAACTGAATCGTACAGCAAGAAAGAAAGATTTTCATTGAGAAATGACGTTGTTTACTTTTACCTATTTCTTAACTACTTTCATTATATTACCTCGTTTTTTTTTCTTCAATTTTCATCGCTTTGATTATTATAAGTGGTAGAAACATAGAAGAAGGAAAACGTTAATCGAATAGCAAATATGATTTACCTAATGATACTACATATAGTTAACAATTCTTTTTTTTAAGATCTCAATACAATTAGTAATTATCATTTTTTATAAATTTAATTTAATGAAATATACTTACTAAACAAATATTATTTGATCCAATATAAAAGACGCGTGATTATTTTTTTTAAATAACTTTTACTGAATATATAATCTACACCTACGGTTTTCACTAGTCGAAAAAGCGATGTTTGGATCATCGATCTGTATGGGTATCATTGCAATCGAAGATGTTTTTGTGCAGATGTTTTTTCGATTGATAATTTTCCTTGATGCATTTTCATTCATTTTCAAGAGACATTTTGATCAAACTATGTCAAAATGTTATTGAAATCATCCTTTCTGCGTCATAAAAATACTGTTTCTTACATGATGATCTCACCAATTTATTTATTCTTCCAATTGGATCTACAAAAAAGGATGATACGAGTAACATTTTGATTAAAAAAATGTCGTGAAAATTAATGAAAATGCACCAAGCAAAAATATCAATCGAAAAAGTTTTACAAAAAAGCATCTTTTGTTTCAATGAGTCTTATACAGATCGATAGTCCACATATTACTCGTTCGACTAGTAAAAACTTGACATGTAAACTATATATTCAACGAAAGTTATTCAGAAAACAGTCACTCGTCTTTTATTTCAAATCGAATAATAAGTGCAACGAGCAGTTCTTTTTCTCAGGAGTGTATGTCTAAAATGAATTATGAAATAATTTAGAATTTATAAATTTTATAAATTAAATCTACATATATATGTGTCAGGCAGAATTAAGATTTAGGAAGAATTATACTTAAAATTTTAAGATAATTTTATGATCATATAAATTTTACAAAATTTTTAAACATCAATTTACTTGTTATTATTATTTTAAATTTTCGAAAATTGTTGTGTTCGTAAGTTGTATTCAATAGAAACTGAATATCATTTTAAAAAGATGTAGAGTTCGCCACTAGTATTCATTAGAAAATAAAATAAAGTTTTAGAAGATGTAGAGTGTAGTAGATGTATAAAACAATAGATAACGAAAACTGTTTTAAAGAAGTTAATAAAGTCTTTCTCATGAATGAGATGGGTAGAATGATTATTTTAATCTCATTGAGTAAGTTTTATTATTTCAGATCGTGTGAATATCGTGTCTACTCAATAAAAATATTTTAAAATAAGTTTCTCTTAATCAATTGATACCTTATTTATCTTATCAACTGTTACTAATTCTCCCGACCAAAAAAACAAAAAATTCAAATTTTCGCGCGGAAAGAAAAGTAGACTTTGCCTGTTTAATTTTCCCTGGAACATCTATATGAGTGACAAGTACATACCCTTTACCTGTATTTCCAAAAAAAAAGAAAAAAACTAAATGTCAAGTTTCCTCGGAACGAATTTTGACGATCCTTTTCGTTTCGCTAATCTGGTTTGAGTGCATTGAAGTTTTCGTAGCCGCAATGAAAGAGGCGATGAAGCCATTTCACACTATATTATCGTTTTGTTTTGTTTTCCATTATATGACGTTTCATGAATCATAACTATCAATAATACACGTTTAGACATTTCTAGTTCCAGCGTAGAGTGTCATTGATATCATTAGTATTCTATCTAAAACAACTTAATTCGAACAAATGTGATTGAATGTTCAAGAGACGAGAGCATACCGGAAATGAGTCAAAACTTAATTGAAAATTTTCATACATTGTATATATGATCTGTGTATATTATGCATAAATATATTTTATACATATATATATATTTGTATATGTACATATCTATTTATGTAATTAATATAAGTTTCTAGAAGAGATTTTCATCACCTACTAGGCACTACCACGATATATCAAGGACTACTAAGGTGTAGTAGGCAGTACCAAGTACTATTACTAGAGACAAGTACGGAGTACCAGGTACTACCACTACGATCCAGCACAGAGTACTACGTACTATTACAAAGCCCTAGTAGGAAGTATCAGTTACAAACACTACGGTCCAGCAGGAAACACCGGGGACTATTACTAGGACCAAGTAGGAAGTACCTGCTGCTAACTCTAGAGCCTAATAGAAAGCACCAGGTACTAATACTAGCATGCACTAAGAAGTACCAGGTGCTAACACTAGGACCTAGTAGGAAGTACCAGATATTAATAGTAGGACCTAGTAAGAGGTACCAGGTG